ATTTATTCGAGGAATATCCTTGGATCGCAAGGTCTTTTTAGCGTAACGAATTTAGAGGACGCGTTTTCTGGGAGGAAGATCGTGGGAACTCGAGGTCATCCCTCGTCCCACGAGATTCCTTCAGGATTATCGGTCTTTTGCCGATTCCTAGCAAATCTCGTGTTTCTAAACACCCCTCATCTAAATTTTCGACATATAGAAAGGAGGGTTTGAAGGAAGGTTTCTCAGAATGAAAAAATTGAAATAATTTATTTCAGCAGGTGAAAACCGTTGCATTGAAGATATTATTCTTGTTTTGAATAATAGGAAAAATGTGACTCACAAAGTCTTCTTCACACAGTGTCCAGCAGTGAGAACATAGTTTGTAGAGATCAAAGATCCAGTGCATGATCCCGACAATAATCCCAAAAGAGACATTTGAATTCTTGCCAGATGCTGGAACCCGAGACTCCTATCAGTTATTTCAACTCCATTGATAATCACGGGCTCATCATCCTGTCTTGCGATTCCTGATGATTCCCCCAAAATCAAAGAAAAATTAAATCAAAATTTATAATTAAAAAATGCAGTTTTCAGTGTAGAGCAGTGTTCCCCAACCTTTTTGGGCCATCAGACCAACTTTTTGAGGACTGGCAAATTTACAAAACAATTTCTGTGGACCAGCAGAATTTCATAAAAAATTTTGAAATCAAAAAACTTTTTGAAAGACTTCATGGCAGGTATTTGAAAAGTTTCTGCTTTTTTTAAAAAATTATGTCAAGAGAGGGAAATGTCTAAAAGAAATTAGAAAGGTTGGTTTGAAGAAACGTTTCTTGTCAGAATGAAAAATTAAAATAATTTCTTTTGACAAGTGAAAATTTTTCTGAAGTGGTTATTAGCAGAAACCCCAACTTTTATTTTTCCTTCGCATAATTTCACTGCACTTGTCTTTTCAAAATTTCAGATAAAGATAATAGATTGCATTGCTATTTTTGATAAATTTATTATGCTGAAAAATGTCTTAATTGTGGACCCGCATGAAAAATTCTGCAGGTTGGGGAACACTGTAATTTAGAGAATGTAAATACACACCGGTTTCATTTAATTTTTGAGCAAAACAAACACTCGTCAGAAACACGGTGAAAAAGATTATTTGCCGAATCAGCCGATGGTCTTTCATATTGTGCTCCACACAGAACAAACTGACTGTTGGGTGTTCAGAAACTCAGTCGTCTTACAGTCGCAACTTACGTCAACCGTTATCTGATTAGTGACATCGTTGGTTTTTCTTCCTTTTCTTTACTTGCTCTTTTTATGAAGGTTAGTCTTTTTCACCAAGCAAAAAAAATTTCCAACGAGGTGGATTTTTCTTTCTCTCCATATCACGCCTCGACAGAATACTAGCGACTTCTAGGAAAGTCTATTTATTTCGTTATTGTTGAAAATCACCTTGTAATTTCTCGAGTTTTTTTTTTCGGATGAAGGGTTTCGATTGAAAATATTTAATCCTTGTTGCTTTTTGAGCGAGGGATTTTCCAACCATTCCAGTACTGTATAACTTTTTCTTGTCCTAAAGATTTTCTATTAAAAAATCGAGAATAAATTGCTGTCTTAATCTTTTCAGAGTAAAAACACCTTGATTGATTCTGATCTACTTCGAGAAGCTATAATTCAATGATATTTTCATACTGTATTTCCAGAACGGAAACCATGCTCAATAAATATGCAGAGAAAAAATAAACAGGTTGACCAAATTTCAATCGTTCAAAACCGAAGGAAGATCAAGAAAATGAACGACTCCGAGAAAACTCCAGGACTTTTTTCTCTCACAAAATAAGTATCCAAATACAATTCCAAATACAATCAAAAGCATTCGGTGCGTAATAAATGAATACATCAGAAAGAAAACATGCGATAAATACAGTCTAGAATTTTTGCCCAGAAATGCAATTATATGCATACACGAATCAATCGGTTTGATACGTGGATTCAAAGTAAGAGCTGATGATGCTTCACTTTTAATACGAACCTGTTATTATTATTTTTTTATTCGGTTAACATTTGTTTAATAATAAAATATCTCAAATTGATACATGAGTGAGTTAATGAATAAGTTTCTTCGACACCACTTCAGATCATCACATGCTTGACCATCACTTCTCGCAAATCCTGTTCGTGGAAAGTCTTTTTATACTCTTGATAAAAATTCGAGCAGATTTTCATTTTCTAGAATTTGCTCACGTGTTTCACTCTATATTGCGAAGCAGATGAAAAAAATATTGCCCAGATTGAATTCAGTGTAATTATTCAAGTCTCCAGATTTTTCATCGCACTCAACAACATGACAATACAAAAAATTGACTGAAATCCAGAGGGAAATTCTGCTCAATGAGCCTCAAGCATCATCATCTGCAAGAATCTGCGCAGATTTATTACTCTGACTTTTTATCCACGTAGTTCATGCCCTCATTTTTCTGCTGAATATTCGAGAAAAAAATAAAAAGCTTTTGCTACGTAGCGAAGCAAAATGATTTCCTTGTTCTTCATAGCAGACAAAAGGGAGGGAAACGAAGAATGGTGAAATTTGTAAAAAAAAAAAGAAGAAAAAAATAGCGAAAAAACGGATTCGCTTAAGAAAAAAGTTACACGTGGAACTTCTAGACTGTTCGAGACAATCATTCGATAAGAAAGAAATGCGTTTCTTAGTTTTTTTTCCTGCTAATTCACGTTGCAGAACGTTTATTTTGTACGTGGGTAGAATTTTTCGAAAAAAAAATGTTCGAAAAATGTCACGTTAGATTCGAAGTCTTCTCCATGACTTATTACGTTTTGGTTCTTTTTAAATTCTGACACATGCATTTTCTGTTCTATTTAATCAGCACAAGATAAAATTATGATTCCTCGAATTTTCAAGATTTGGTGGTGCGAAGTTTTTTTTTGCCGGATTTGGGTCTTTTTCTCTGAGGAATCTGCAAAACAGAAGATTCGCTAAAATTTTCATCAAACAAATCTCGACCAAAGCCTCATCATCTTTTGCAGACGATTGCATAAAAGTGTATATATTCGTATAAAACAGAATCAAATCGGTCCCACAAGATGCAATAGCGACAATTAATTTCAAATTACAGATGATTCTCACGATAAATATTATTGTCCGTAACAAAATTCGTTTTTAGATTTTTTTTGTGAAATTCTGTGGACACTGGACGTCCATCAGCTGGAACAAAAATAAATGAAGAGTCAAAATATTTTATATTCATAATTTATTTCATCTCAAGAAAAAAACGCACTTCAAATTTCCACTCTCAAAAACAGTGTTTTATCGTAGTTGAATTTTCTCTCATGTGGGTTCCTTTTCAACCATTTCGGGTTTTTTTGTTGATCCATTCAACCACGGAAGCAACTCTCACCGCTGCCCACGGAGTGTTTGTGGCGCAAATTGTGTCCATCCAATATGCAACAACTCCCACTAGAACGTTTTTACCGTTGATTTCTGCGACCACGCCTCCACCAGAGTCTCCCTTGAAAAAAAGAGTCAAACGGATTTCAGAATATATTTTATTTTTAATTAGGTACAGTCAAACCCCTTTAAGACAACCCCCAATATAGGCCACCACACTCAGCAGCTGCTCGAGTTTAATTTGAAAAACAAACTTTCTCTAATGATGAATGCAATATTTGGGAACCCCATAAAAAACAGCATCTTGTTGTCCTGGACAAGGAGCAAAATACTTCGTCCTCCAAAAATTCACTTTTTGACTAAAATCCTATTTTCACTCTTCCTGTAATTGTTGGAAGTGGTCACTGCTCCACTTTTAACCCTTGCCAGAATAATTAATGGGTGAATTGATGAATAATGAATCAATGAATTATGAGGTAGGAGCCTATACCTCCTTTTGCTGCATAGATGACCTAGAGTCCTAGACTCAATACAATGATTATTCATTGTATCTGTCACGGGTCAAACAGATGTCACCCGCTGACGTGCCAATTGACTTGGGCAAACTAGATGTTGCCCAAGTAGAAGAAACATTGGAACATATGAGAGAACAATGTGGTGTACGGAACACCATGTTGTCCTTGCATTTTGAAACAGAAACATCTTTTACAAACCAAAGAAAATATTAACAAAAACAGAAACAGGAATAAAACAAGATTCCAAAGAAATCAACCTCAACAGCAGGCTAGCCTTGGAGATAATGATCTCCAGGGCTTATTCAACTTGAGTGAATCAGCCCTGTGATCAAAGGAATAACTGGAATTATGTGTGCCGAAGAATTAGTGACACATCAATGGAAAGCCTTGGAAAAAGATGAGGACCTGGACCTTATCAAATTCAACACACAAGCAGCAGTCACTTGTCTCCAGAGCTCCAAAGCAAACAGAACTATTATTATTGTGTGCTGCTGATTATTTTTCAAATACCATTGAACACTTGCTGAATTTATAAGCCAATGTCAAGGTACTTACCTCAGGCTGCAAATGGCCAATCATGATTACTTCTTTATTTTGCTTTATCAAACAAGCAAAAATCTTCATCTTTGCCAGAGAGGCTCAGTAGCCCCTGACAGTATCTCTGGTGTTATTCCTGGTTCATCCCAAGAACCATTCTGGAGTCTGACTTTTAAAAGTCAGAATTAGCTGCCCCATTCAACTTTTCAGTTTATTACTATAGGTTGTGTTTCTCAGTCCTCTGGACTTTAAATGGTTTTAAATATTTTGTGTGATGTCTATAGTATTGTATTGAGAAGACCAGTGTTTGTAAAAAGGCTTTTATAATATAATCGACTCAAAATTCTTCCTAATTGTAGATTAAACTCTCAACGGATAGGAAGGACAACAATCTTCCATGTCCCAAAATTATTAACAACTCAAGTATGATCCTGCCAATTTAAATAAAACAAGATTCCAAAGAAATCAACCTCAACAGCAGGCTAGCCTTTGAGATAATGATCTCCAGGGCTTATTCAACTTGAGTGAATCAGCCCTGTGATCAAAGGAATAACTGGAATTATGTGTGCTGAAGAATTAGTCACACATCAATGGAAAGCCTTGGAGAAAGATGAGGACCTGGACCTTATCAAATTCAACACACAAGCAGCAGTCACTTGTCTCCAGAGCTCCAAAGCAAACAGAACTATTATTATTGTGTGCTGCTGATTATTTTTCAAATACCTTTGAACACTTGCTGAATTTATAAACCAATGTCAAGGTACTTACCTCAGGCCGCAAACAGCCAATCATGATTACTTCTTTATTTTGCTTCATCAAACAAGCAAAAACCTTCATCTTTGCCAGAGAGGCTCAGTAGCCCCTGACAGTATCTATGGTGTTATTCCTGGTTCATCCCAAGAACCATTCTGGAGTCTGACTTTTAAAAGTCAGAATTAGCTGCCCCATTCAACTTTTAAGTTTATTACTATAGGTTGTGTTTCTCAGTCCTCTGGACTTTAAATGGTTTTAAATATTTTGTGTGATGTCTATAGTATTGTATTGAGAAGACCAGTGTTTGTAAAAAGGCTTTTATAATATAATCGACTCAAAATTCTTCCTAATTGTAGATTAAACTCTCAACGGATAGGAAGGACAACAATCTTCCATGTCCCAAAATTATTAACAACTCAAGTATGATCCTGCCAATTTATTTTGTCTTTGATAGCATGCCAACAAGATTCAAGCTTCCGCAAGAAGTCTCCAACATAAAAAGATGAACACAGAGAGGTGACATAAATTACCTTTGAGAACATTAGCGTGATATAATTTGTGTAACCAAGGATTATTATGATTCTTTTCTAGAGCAATGACAATTCCATTTCCTATTCTACTTAATTGTTAAAATCTTATTTTAGCTTTTTAGAAACCACAAACCACCTTTTGAGATATTTATTCAAAATTTGTGCCCACAAGCACTGAAATAAAATAAAAACAAATTGAAAACCAAGACAAATAAAGTAGGAAAAATTTCTTTTTTGCAGTACATTTTTGCTGAAAGATAGAAAATGCCCTCCTGGGTGGCATTTGTTCCAGCATTTATCTCTAGCATAGGATTAGCATTGAAGATTTCTGAAAACAAATGGGTTTGTTCCTGGATTTGGACCCATCCTGGATTTTCTGAATCCACGCTTTTGGAACCCTGGCCCATTTTGATGACTTTTAGTCAAACTTCACTGCACCACTGTGTAACAAAAAAATCCCCCAACTTTGCCTTGGAATGGAAAGGAGGCAGTGGCCATGAGAGGGCTCAAAACCACAAGCAGTGTGCGGAATTTTTTCTCTCGACACCAGCGGCGGTGTCGATTTCCCTGAGAAGGGACAAATAGCTCGAGTTTACCAAAATTGGCGCGTCTCGGGACGCGCCCGGGGTTGTAAATTAATCCCCTTGGAACCCTGGCCCATTTTGATGACTTTTAGTCAAACTTCACTGCACCACTGTGTAACAAAAAAATCCCCCAACTTTGCCTTGGAATGGAAAGGAGGCAGTGGCCATGAGAGGGCTCAAAACCACAAGCAGACAGATGATTTAACATTTTCTTCTTTGCAAAATCAGCTACGCATAATTTACTCATCCCAGGGCTTTTTGAATTTCCATGGAAGAATAAGAATTCAATTTTTATTATGATTAATTATCATATTTTGTATATAGCTCTTTGATAAACCACCAAATCCCTTGAGCCTGAAAAATCCTTGCAGACAAATGATGGTGGCTCATAGCTAAGTTCAACTGTACCATTGATTCTACTCACATCACAGGGTAAATGACCTGCTGTTGTGGGTTTCAGGCAAATTGCCTTGTCCGGGTCACGAGCTCCACAATTGTCATTTGCAATTGTAGTAGACAATCCATATGTAAGCGTGTCAGAAGTTTCTGTCATGAAAAAGTATGGGAAAAAATCCATTAATCATCAGGATGATTAAAAGGGTAAGGAGTGCGGACATACAAGGTTTGTCACACAACCATGTGTCTACAGAATTTTCAACATTGTAACAAAATTGGAAACAGCATTTTCTAATTTTTCCAGACTTTTATGGCATTTTTCAATACACTGCATGACGAAAAGTCAAAACTTTTGGTTGAATGGCCAGAGTTCCCAGCTCATTTCACAATATACTGAAAATTTATTCTGTTAGTTTTAAAATTGGAAAATTCCATTTTGGTTGTTGCATACAATACTGTATGGATTTGGGTTGGGTGGGGAGGGGGTTTGGATGTGGGAATGTTGATTGCACCTTGTGAATGCTGAAAAGTGGAAAATAAAGCTTTCTGTTTGTTCATTCATTTACAATACTGTATTATGTTTCTCACATCAGGAGAACATTTTTCTATATTTTTTTGGGCAACATCACAAAAACACTATTTACCTTTTGTGTTTAGGAAAACCGAAACGGTGTTATTCCGTAATTAATTAAACGTTAAAAGGAGTAAAGATAGTGTCGAAAACGAATATGTAATTAACGGTTTTTACCAAATTGAACATTATGATTCATTTTTGAACTGCCTTAAAGTTTGATTTTAATGAGCTGAATAGTCAGTGCTTAGAATATTATGAGGAAAGTATGCATTTTTTTCTATTTTTAAAAACATCCAAATTTCTAAGAACATGTGCGTCACCGTGTTGCGACTATTACAAATCATAAGTGTCCTTTTTATACTGTCTTTTTTACAGTTAGTATGCGTAACCAAGTATTAAAAACTCTTAAGACCTTTATGACATCTAGGTTACCTCAAAGTTAAGTTTCAAAAAGTTTCTTTGCTTACCCCATCATTTTGCAGTATTGCAGTGCTGTTCAATGCCCTCTCTACCAACTTCAATGCATTTTTGTGCAAAAAAATTCAATGATCAAAACAGTTCCAAAAACTGACAACTGTATTGGTTGATTAAGCTGCTCCCTGATGGGAGGCTGAAGTGTTGCCAAATGATGGGGCTATAAAAGTGAAAAGTTTATTGAATTCTGCAAACTTTGCTGGATCAATTTCAAGAAATCTCAAAACTTCTGAACCAAACCCTGGTATTCTTACACTCATATTCAGTTGGGCCAGAGGCTATGTTGGATTTTATGCTGCATAGAAAATTCATAATACAGTACTTTATCAAAAATGATAAATCCATCATACAAACAAATGAGTGTTTTCAAATGTCTCACTCTTTGCACCAGCTGAAGTATATCCCCAGCCTTCAATTCTCACTTGAGTCCCAATGGCCACATTCTCACCAATGGCAGGCAAAGCAATGGTCTGAATCTCTGCGGTCAAGGTCGGCTGGGAAAGCAAATACACCAGGGCAATGTTGTAGGGGTCGCGTTCTGCAAATGCGCTCTTGACCTTGAGGCTCTGGAATGGGTTTTGGTTTTTCTGCTTAGATCCAAAATTCTGGTGCGGGATTCCAATGCCCAGTGAGTTGACCTCTGACTTTTCCTTGGTGTTAGCTTGCAGATCCCCAAGTGTGACCTTGATATTATAGGGGAACCGCAATGGACCAACTCTGTATAGAATAAAATTTGTCATTTTCAGAAAATTAGAATCAAAAACTGCTTGAAAGATCAAGGACCCAGTGTGTCACAGGGACGTGGAAAATTCTTGCATGACACAGACCAGAAAAAATATTTCAAAATTTCAAATGCCAACATGTTTTCAGTACTGCATACTTGAACCCTTGAATAGTGGTAGGTTCCTTTCCATCTCACAAAAAAGTTGAGATTTTTCTGCATAACTACTTAGGAACCAGAACTGGTGCCCAGGGACCAGATGTAAGATCCTGGGACATGAATTCTGGTCCCATTTTCTGTTGTGCATCCATGCTGCACAAAGGATTTATCTGATGCATGCACCATTTACCTCATGTGTGCTCTTTGAATATACAACTGGGCTTTGTTTGTTTATGCCCTGCTCTTTTCTCTCATCCTGTGACAGTCTTGGAAATGTTTCCTCAGTACATTCTGAGGACTTTAGCTTTCTTAAAAACACCCATTTCTGCACAGCCAATCAATATGGGTGATACAGGGGTCTTGCATCATTTACTGTTAGAAACAGTAATTTGAGTTGTGAATTTTGACTTTGAATTTTCCCCCTCCTTTTTCTCAGATATGAAATGAATGGTTTAAATGCAATCAGCCTAGCTATGTCCAGGGTGATTAACACCCTAGTGTAAGGTTGATATATTTTGGAGTTTAAGTTCAATTGATTCCAGCTGTCGCGAATTTTTTAGTCCTATTTTTAGAAAAGCCAGATTGAGAACCCGAATTCTGGTCCTTGAGGACAAATTCCACTTTCCGTGAGAACCTCGGGAAACCTCGGTTCTCACGCAACTTACGGAAGCCTCCAAGGCTGCTTTTCTCTGCTAATCCTACTTGCTAAAATCTCGTCCTTGTAGGACAGTTTTCCTGTTCTCCAAAATCATAATTATCAGTACAGTCCGGTTTCTGCTTCTCGAGCGTGTGGTTCCTCCAAGACTTCGCGAGCGATTTCATTGAGTGTCAATCTTGCATCCTACGAATATATCAACGTTATAATAGGGTGTTCTCACCCCGGTCGTAGCCCGACCGAATTCCTGAGTTTCATTCAAAAGCTTCCATCCTAAAACTCTCTTCTAAAAAAGGGTTTCACTACTCAAATCATCATTTGTTGGGTTTATTCCTGACAAAATTTGGTAGCAGAGCGTGGTTTCACATCTCTTTAAAGCTAAAAAGCTCTTTTTAGTCTCTACAAGTGCAAACCTTTATTCATTCATATACCTAAGTGCAACTCCAATTGCCTCAAAGTGCTCAGTCTGCGTATCTGATTCTACCCTCTCAGTACATCTCCTTTCCAAATTGACAAGTGTTTATATTCCTCAAGTGTATATCAAATTTGTACTATATATTTAAATTGACAAGTGTTTATATTCCTCAAGTGTATATCAAATTTGTACTATATATTTGAATTGACAAGTGTTTATATTCTTCAAGTGTATATCAAATTTGCATTATATCTCTGAATTGACAAGTGTTCATATTTTTACAAGTGTAAATCAAA